GATTGTCACGTAGGCCTGGTCACACAAGAAGGGGTGTGGGGCTATAGGTCCCCAACAAATTACAAACATTCATGCAAGTTACCCCAATACATGAAGCAGGTAAGTCGAGGGCTGTGCATCCAGAGCCACCTTGGGTTTTTGAATTCACCTGCAACGTGCCAGCTTGGGGTCAGGGTAAGGTGCAGAAATCGGATCCTGGGGATGCAGGGCCCCAGGCTGATGCCTCCTCAGTCGCTTTAGGGAGGGGAGTGTGTGCCGTGTTCTCTTCCCAGACACTCCCCTCTTTATTGGTTCCTCTGCATTAGCCGCAGAGCTCCTCCAGGGTAAGAACAAAATCTGATTAGTCCTGCTAGTCTCTGTATCAGAAGGGCCTAGTTCACTGACTGGCACAGCCATGAGTGTTTGTCAAAAGACGAGTTAATGCACAAATGGGTGGGTGGGTGCAGACGTGCGTGCAGGAACAACAAGGGGCCGGGAAGCAGTCTCGGGCACGTCACGGAGATGCTCTTTCGTTGCTCTCTGGAGGTTCTGGGAAGGTTGATGGATGCTTCTCGATGTCCATTGTGTAGAGAAGGCAGCTTGGGCACCCTGTGGGATTCCTTTCACCCTGTTCTGGCCTAGATGCTAATGAGAGTGAGGGTTCCTGGGAGGGATACTGGGAGCAGGTAAGATGGATGTTGGCAAAAGGGCTCTGGAGCCTGTGCCCATTGCTGTGGGCAAGGCAGTGTTTCAGACAGTGACCTAATGTCAGCAGTAAGACCCTGAGGACTATGCCAGGAGAAAATAGCCTCCCTGTGGAAGATCTGATTTTGGAAGGAGATGCTCCTCCTATAGAGGCGGGTCTGATAAACGGTGTGTGCCACACAGCCTGACTCTGCTGCCGTCATGGTGCACGCTTTGGTTTCCGCTGCCACGGGGACACTCCCAATGCCCAGTGCCCTCTTCCCAGTCTGGATGCCTGCTCCTCCTCTGGTTAGCCCAGCCCAGAGAGGACCGAATTTCCCCAAACCTGTCTGAACTCCGAGGGGGAACAAGAGGCCAGCAAGGGCAGGTAAGCATGGGATGCAGGAAACCACCACGCTGGCGTTCCTCCGTTCCACATGCCTTCTGAGAGATGGTCTCTCCAGCTCCAAAGGGCTGGCAGGACCACAGCAGCTCCTTACCTGGGCTACCTACTTTCCTTCTCCAAGCTCATTGCCCTTGATGGGCACCATTTCAGGACCCACAGCCATCCAGGAGTTTCCTCTCAGGTATCATTGTCTCTCCATGGTCAAGAGCAAACAGCATCTCTCCGCTTCCCCACCCACCACTGTCTTGAGGCTTTCTGGGTCTTCCATACCAGTAATGACCTTATCCTTCCATCACACCTTGGCTGAGGTGTAGAGGAGTCTCTGATCAACAGGAAATGAAGGTGCTGCCTGGGCTAGCTTGCCTTGGAACTTCCCTGGCTTTTTTCCCATGGAAGGTGAGATTCAGACTGGTCTTACTGATGGAGCTTCTTGGCTTTTCAGGATTTTGGGGAGCGAAGTGCTCTTGACTGCAGCTCTCCCAGGGCTTGGCTCTGTGGTTTGGAGCAGGACCCCCTCTCCAGCCCCTGAAAACTGGGGCCTGCTCTTAGTTCTGCTCACATCTGGGCCGAGTCCACTTGGCAGCTGTTATCATGCTTGCAGTGGCAGGTGTGCTGCAAATCTGGCCCAGGTGAGCAGAGCCCCCTCTCACCTGCAGGTCTTATTAGGGAGCCGCAAGTACATCACCCCCTACACTCTCCACCCTTCCTGCTCCCATTGTTGGTCCTACACAGCCCAGCCTTCCCCAGCTGTCTGCACACGCTTCCCCTCCCTGCAGCTTCTCAGGAAATTGTCAGGTCAAATCAAGCCAGAGGCAAAGGGGCTACAGACCAGATTGGAGTTTCTCATTGTGGCCTAGGAGGCAGGACTTGCTGGACACTGTGGAGGAGGTGGATGGATGCAGGATGGCGAACCTGAAAGAAAGGGGCACCTTCCTCACCCGCCCCCTGCCCGGAGGCATGCTGCCTGTCAGCTGCGAGGGCACTGGGCGGTAACTAACACCACCCAGGGGAGGCACGTTTCACTGCTGATTTTGTTTTGATTGCAGTTAGGCTATCTGCCTTCTTCGGAATGACGGTGTCCTTGGGTGACACCATCCGAGCAAGTTTCATCCCTGAGGTGCTCATTGCAGGCACATTTTAATTAAGCTGGAGCATGTGTGATAGTATCAGAAGGCACTGTCGTGGGCAGGAGGCTTCTTTACCTTTATTGAAACTGTTAGCTGCTTTAGGCAGGGCCCTGGTGTGGGAACATTTGCCTCAATCTATTGGCCGGTGAAATACACATCATAAATTAAAATGCTGGGCATGCTTTATAATTGGGAATCAGAGAGGTGGCAAGCGATGAGTTTCTTGCCAAGCAGTATGTGTAGGTTCCACCAGGGGGTGACGGGAAATGTACAGAACGGTCATTAGAGCTCTTCAGTGTGGGGAGGTTCTCATCCCCACATACGGATGTGTTTTTTCAGATGTGTCTTTATTAAGCCCCACTGCCTCTTCTTCCGACTTCACCCAGCTCATGGTTGACACGGGGAAAGGACACGTGTCGTGGAAACATGCGTGCTTTGAGTTCAGCATCAACCAGACCTGGGAGACTCTCGCTTTTGCTGCTTGGGAACCGGGCGACTTTGGCCAAGTCATGTTCCCAGACAGAGCCTGGGTTTCCTTACCTGTGAGCCTGACATTTTCCATATCTCACAAGTTCACTGAGGAAAGTTACTGAAATAATGACTGAAAAGGGTCTAACACAGTGCCTGGCACATAGCCGTGCTCAGGAAACAGTAGTTCTCATCCCCTCTCTTCTCCTCCCTATTTCAGTTGGATTCCCTGGAAGAAGAGCCTGGCATTGCACAAGGGATTTGTCCGAGGAGAGCTCTCAGGTGCAGTCCTTAAAGATGTGAAGGTAGCAGGCTGGGGCAGGGGAGAAAGTGTGGCCCAGCTGAGGTTCAGGTGAGGTCTGGCTTTAGCCTGATCCCAACAGGAGTCTGGATTAGGAATGGCAGCACGAGGTTATCCCAGCTTGAGGTAGAAGGACTGGGCTTTTGTGTCCCAAAGCAGTCACTGGCTGTGGCCACCCTTGGGGGAGGGCATAGCCTCCCAGACATTTCTGGGTGAGGCAGAACCCCGTTTCGTTTCTCAGGGGTGCATGCCCCAGCAGCCGGGCCTGGATACACCTGTTGGTGGAGGGGATCCAAGTGGGGAACCACAGCATCTGCGAACTTCCCCTTGCCTATTTTGAAACTTCTTCTCCCAAGAGTTTTTGTATCAGTATAAATATAAGTGTTTTCAATTAAGTTTTAACTACATTCCTGAATACCTGATGCCTAAAGTTGGCTAGGACATGAGGGATGTTTGTAGATTCTCTGGCTTTTGGGGGTGAGGTCTATAAAGTGCTTCTTGTTCATGCTGTCTCTTGGCGCTGAGCTCTGGCTCCACATCCTGGACAGCCACACAGCAAACCTGAGCTGCTGGGAAGTTCTGAGGGCTGCAGGTGCATTCTGCTGCTGTTTCAGGATCAGTTCCAAATTGAGACGCTCCCCAGGTTTAATTGGCCAAGTCTCCAGCATGTACTCGGAGAGCGCGTGTGTAGTGGTGGCTGTGTACTGCTGGAGCCGCCTCTAATCAGCATTTGCTAAGGTTTATTAACACCTTATCAGTGCTTGGGATGGCTCAGTGTACACTCTCTCATCAGTGGCATTATCTCACTCTAGGAAGTCTGAAAACATTAGATGGCAAAGCCATCCTGCATGCCTCATTGGCGGTTCAAAGCGTGCATGGTTTGAGGGCCATCAGGGGGAATCCATCAGCTCCCCACGATATTAAAGGAGGAATGATTGATAGGTGAGTTCTATCCGGAGGCACTGCCACTCCAAAGGCTTCAGGGTAGGTGTGATGATGGCCCATGAGAAAGCCCCAGCTCTGCCAGCACCTATGGGATGCTTATGCTGGGGTGGTCCCTAACAGGGGTCTGGGCTGTGGTTGGGGTGTTTATCATCTGAACACATCGCCACTCTGCAGTGGTGCCAAGGCACATTTCCTTAAAGGGGAAGAAGTGGTCTGATGACAGAAAAAGCACAAAGAGACTCCCAAGTTAGCAAGCTTGGGTTTGACCCCAGCTCTGCTACTTACAAGCTGTGTGAACTTGGATGCATTCCTCAGTCTTCTCATCTGGAAATTGGGGACAAATCCTCCCATTCAGGGATGATAAGTGTAACCTCCTGGCACACAGCTTATTGGAAAGTTCCAGACATATATTACCTGCTCAACTGTTAGTAACAATTTTTATTGTTGCTAATAATATAATATTTAGCTAATAAAAAACAATGAAATTTATTATTGCTACTGGATTTAGATTCTCAGCTTGGGTTTGAGCCTGTGGGAGGCATGCAGTCCCTCCTTGGATCAGAGCCACCGTGGAGGAACATCTGAATTCTCTCCGGGACAGGGCTGTGGGGTTGGGGTTATGATAAATAACTTCTCTTCCAAATCTTACATTTCAGTCAACTCAGTCTCCTGCCGTATGTGGGCAATTGTACCGTCTTAATATCGCTCTTCCCCCTCTTTAATCATTCTTTTCAGAATGTTCTGTCGATTAGAAAATGCTTGTCAGCTAAGTGACTGTTCGGGAAAACAACCTACATGCCTTCTCCAGCACTTGAAGAATCTACAGTAATGGCAGGGGATTCGCTTTCAGGAGAAGCATTGTTTGGAAGCAGCGCTGCTATTCAGACTCCTCCTGGTCTGTGTGGTTTCATTAATAACACCTTTCATTCTACAGCCTCTTGCATTGGGAAGGATCTTGAGTGATTAACAGGTGCTGTGAATAAGAATTAGTTTATCTTCTGCTGAAATGTTGCTTCTCTATGGAGCTGCAAGCTTCTGGCACCCACCATCATTCTCGTGCCCGGGGAGGGCTGAGGCTGCCTCAGGGTCCCTCCTGCTTCTCCAAATTATGGGGACACAAATCATCACCAAGGAACTGACTCAGTTCTGTAGAAGTTCCTGACCTCTGACGCTGTGATAGGTGCTGGGGAGGGAAGAATCAGAAATAGCTCCTGCATGAAAGGATCTCGCTGGGCAGGAAGACAGTCGGACAGGTAAAGAGCACCTGGCCACAGGGCAGGGGACAGCATGCCACAGAAGTGTAGTGCCTGTGGCCGGGAGCTGGCACAGGCCTGAGCTTTGCTGGGATGAGGATGGAGGGCTGGGGCTGGGGTAGAGAAGACTGCAGAGGCCACAGGCTGGCCTGCGCTCAGAGCCAGAGCCCACAGTCACTGCCAGGGCGGAATTCCCTGGGGGCTTGTTACAACACAGATTGCTGGGTCTCCGCCCTGGATTCTTTGACTCAGTAGGTCCAGGATGGGGCCTGAGAATTTGCATGTCTAACGAGTTTCCAGGTGATGCTGATGCTGGGCTGAGGAGCATACTTTGAGAAGTACCGCACTGGGGGATTTAATGGAATCTCAGATGCGACATCCCTGGAGGACCGTGAGGGGAGCTGCGTGGGTGCACTGGGGAGGTCCACGGCAGACCGGGAAGCACGCACCCCATGAAAACAGAGCAGCTGCTCCTCAGCCACGGCCTGGGGTTGCATGTGGGAACGTGGGATGAATGTTACTAGATCTTCTGCTTGGTCTGGAAAGGCTAGGAATCTTAATTTTTTTTTTTTTAATGTAAAATGTTCTTATTTTTACAATGCCACACGAGTCTGCGAAAATACATCTGCAGGCTTCATATATCCAGTGAGTTTTAGTTTGTGACCTTTCTTTGAAAGAATGAATAGGAATTTGCCTGGTGGCCAGGGAGGGAAAAGACTTTTCATGCAAAGGAAACCACAGGCGCAAATGCCCAGAAGCATAAAATACCCTCAGTAGGGAGGTGTGAGGCCTTCTGATTGGCTGGAGCACATGGATGCTGGGGGTGGGGAGTGGGGGGAGGGGAGGAGACAGTGGGAAGCAGGCAGGGGAGGGTCCACTGGAGCGTGGAGAGGGCTTAGATTTGATCTCTGACTCCAACCAGGCAGGCTTCGCTGTCAACCTTGGTTCCTCTGTGTCCTGGGATAGAGGAGGCAGTTTGATACCCCATACACCTGGCCCAGCAGGCCGAGGTCTGCACTGTGCACAGGGGGAGCCACATGCAGAGTTCTGATGCCTCATGCCTTTGGTTCCATGCGGGCACACAGGCCAGCCTCTGTGAGGAGCTGTGGGCCCGTGGTGATGCCGCTTCTTGGGGAGGGACCCCGTCCTTGTCTACTCAGGAGAGGAGCCGGGAGGCCTTCTTTCCACTGCGGACTTTGTGCTCAGCATATTTTCCTGAGAAGGTCTTTGTGTCAGACAGACCCAGGCTAGGGTCTCACAGACACTCTGGGCAAGTTGCTAAAACTTTCTTAAACTCTGTTTCTCAGCTCTAAAATAAGGAAAATTATTGTGAACATTAATGAAATTATTTTTAATATAAATATGTCAATAGATTATTTTTCTAAGCTATGTGCTTCTTAGAAGATTGTACATTATCATGGCAGAGAAAATATAAATATGTAAACAGGCATAAAGAACCCACCCCCCCAAATTAAAATTACCTAACTTCCTAACACCTTGACATAAACATCATTGACATTTTTGTATTTATCTGGACACCAAAGGGAAGGCCTCTGCTGGCCTGGGCATGTGGTTAGTCACAGCCACAAGACCAAGGCCAGCCTCTGCAGCCACGGGACCAATGGAGGACCTGCCTGTGTCAGACTAGTGCTGGGCACTGGGGTGCATGCAGACGTGGAAGCCATGGCCCCCACCTCGAGGAGCTTAAGGTCTGGAAAGGAGACACAAGCATGTGCCTGACAGGCTGTGCGCTAAGCTCGAGGCCAGAATGGCAGTGATGGCTCTGGGAGCACATATTCATGTGTCACTCTGCCAGGTAGTTGGCATATGCAAGGCAGGCATTTGTCTGGGGGTAGTCTCCCCAAAGCAGGCCTTGGAATGAGTTATACCCTGGAATGTGGAGCTGGGCTGCTACACCTGGAACTGTCGTCATAAGTGTGTGTGTATGTGTGTGTGTGTGTGTGTGTGCGTGCGTGTGTGCGTGTGTGTAGGTGATTCTCAGGTCTTGCCAGGTCTCTGTGCCTGCTGGCAAAGCAGCTCCAGTGGTCAGAGGGTCGTTCTCTGAACAAGAGCTTCAGCTGGATGCCCAGAGGTAGAGATGGAAAACACGACAAAGCTTCATCCTCCCCTACCCAGAAAGTTACTATCCCCATTGTACAGATGGAGAAACTAAGGCACAATAAAGTTGAATCACCATCTGCAGCATGTGGAAAAGCCAGGATTGTGGCTCAGCCTGTTGGGTGCTCTCCCTGATGCCACAGGGAAGGTGGACGAGCACCTGGTCTTTGAGAAAGGGGAGCACTCAGGGATGGGTTCCTGGAGGAGTTGCTCGGCTGATCTGAGGTGGTAGAGGTGGCACCCAACACTGGCATGAGGGACCGAAGCGGCCTGGGCCCAGGGGAGGCAGGTGGGTCCTGTGTGATGGGGACCTCATGAGGGGCTGGGGGTATGAGTAACCACCTAGAATGGCAATGGAGCACTTGGCCTCTCCTTGCCAAGCAGAGAGGGGCCATGACAGTGTCTCAGGGCTATGTTTTGAGGACTGTGAAACTGGCAGTGGGAGCAGGACAGATTAGAGGGCTCGAGCCCGATGGCAGGGCCACCATTTTGAAGGCTGATGGAAAGGAAGTCCTGGACAGGAACCATCCTGGGGTTGGACATCCTTACTGCAGAAGGGGCAGGGGAGAGACAGGAGTCATAGGTATTGCTAAGGCCCCCTGCCCATAGGGTTCTGTGCATGGCCCTGCAGAGGGGACCTAACTGATGGAGGGAGCTGGGTTGGTGTTGGGCTTGCTTGAACTGCCTC